ACCCTACGGACAAGCGTATACTGAAGTTTGCGGGAGACCTTATGGCACCAGCATCTGCTGTCGGGGTGCATGCTTTCCAGGCTCCTGCAACAAAAAAAAATTAGAGATGAGCAAATCGAAGTCCAAGTGGAATTCGAGTCGAATATTGGAAAAAATAACCCCAAAAAAAATAGCCTACTTCGGACGCGCGAATCAAAATTTTTCCTAAAAGGGGCGGCGGCATGTGGGGCGACGGAGGGGGGGTGTCGGGAAGGGCGCAGACAAGGCCGTGCCCCATAATGCATTCCTTAAGCATTGATCGCTTAGCCAATCAGCACCAGCCAGCCGGGATGTGTATGGTCGGCTATAAATTTAGGGGCCCATTTTAGAATTCTTATTTGGGCCTCCAGTCATTCAAGAGAGGCAGACCGCTCTGTAATTAGGGACCAAGAGATTAGGGCCACAGAAATGTTAACTTGGGGAACAGAGAAACGTTACTTAGGACAGAGAAGCCATTACTCGGGGACACAGAATTGTTAATGAGGGCCACAGAATCGTACTTAGGGCCAAAGAAACGCTAAGTTAAGGCCACAGAATTGTTACTCAGGGACAGGACAGAATTGTTACTGAGTGCCAAGAATTGTTACTTTAGGGCCACAGAATCGTTAGTTAGGGCCACAGAATTGTTACTCAGGGACAGACACAGAATGTTACTGAGGGCCACAGAAGCTGTTACTTAGGGCCACAGAACTGTTACTTATGGCCACAGAAACGTTAGTTAGGGCCACAGAATTGTTACTGAGGGCCACAGAATTGTTACTGAGGCCACAGAATTGTTTACTGAGGCCACAGAATTGTTACTGAGGGCCACCGAATTGTTACTGAGGGCCACCGAATTGTTACTGAGGGCCACCGAATTGTTACTGAGGGCCACCGAATTGTTACTGAGGGCCACCGAATTGTTTACTGAGGGCCACCGAATTGTTACTGAGGGCCACCGAATTGTTACTGAGGGCCACCGAATTGTTACTGAGGGCCAACCGAATTGTTACTGAGGGCCACCGAATTGTTACTGAGGGCCACCGAATTGTTACTGAGGGCCACCGAATTGTTTACTGAGGGCCACCGAATTGTTACTGAGGGCCACAGAACCTTACTTAGGGCCACAGAAAACGTTACTGAGGGCCACAGAATTGTTACTGAGGGCCACAGAACCGTTACTTAGGGCCACAAAACCGTTAATCAGGGGACACAGAATTGTTACTGAGGGACACAGAATTGTTACTGAGGGACACAGAAATTGTTACTGAGGGACACAGAATTGTTACTGAGGACACAGAATTGTTACTGAGGGCCACCGAATTGTTACTGAGGGCCACCGAATTGTTACTGAGGGCCACCGAATTGTTTACTGAGGGCCACCGAATTGTTACTGAGGGCCACCGAATTGTTACTGAGGGCCACCGAATTGTTACTGAGGGCCACCGAATTGTTACTGAGGGTCCACCGAATTGTTACTGAGGGCCACCGAATTGTTACTGAGGGCCACAGAACCTTACTTAGGGCCACAGAAACGTTACTGAGGGCCACAGAATTGTTACTGAGGGCCACAGAACCGTTACTTAGGGCCACAGAACCGTTAATCAGGGACACAGAATTGTTACTAGAGGGACACAGAATTGTTACTGAGGGACACAGAATTGTTACTGAGGGACACAGAATTGTTTACTGAGGGACACAGAATTGTTACTGAGGGACACAGAATTGTTACTGAGGGACACAGAACCGTTACTTAGGGGCCACAGAATTGTTTACTCAGGGACAGACACAGAATTGTTACTGAGGGACACAGAATTGTTACTGAGGGACACAGAATTGTTACTGAGGGACACAGAATTGTTACTGAGGGACACAGAATTGTTACTCAGGGACACAGAATTGTTACTCAGGGCCACAGAACCTTTACTTAGGGCCACAGAAACGTTACTGAGGGCCACAGAATTGTTACTGAGGGCCACAGAACCGTTACTTAGGGCCACAGAACCGTTAATCAGGGACACAGAATTGTTACTGAGGGACACAGAATTGTTACTGAGGGACACAGAATTGTTACTGAGGGACACAGAATTGTTACTGAGGGACACAGAATTGTTACTGAGGGACACAGAATTGTTACTGAGGGACACAGAATTGTTACTGAGGGACACAGAAACCGTTACTTAGGGCCACACAGAATTGTTACTCAGGGACAGACACAGAATTGTTACTCAGGGACAGACACAGAATTGTTACTCAGGGACAGACACAGAATTGTTACTCAGGGACACAGAATTGTTACTCAGGGACACAGAATTGTTACTCAGGGACACAGAATTGTTACTCAGGGACACAGAATTGTTACTCAGGGACACAGAATTGTTACTCAGGGACACAGAAACGTTACTTAGGGCCACAGAACCGTTACTTAGGGCACAGAATTTGTTACTGAGGGCCACAGAATTGTTACTGAGGGGCCACAGAATTGTTACTGAGGGACACAGAATTGTTACTGAGGGGACACAGAATTGTTACTGAGGGACACAGAATTGTTACTGAGGGACACAGAATTGTTACTGAGGGACACAGAATTGTTACTGAGGGACACAGAATTGTTACTGAGGGACACAGAATTGTTACTGAGGGACACAGAATTGTTACTGAGGGACACAGAATTGTTACTTAGGGGACACAGAATTGTTACTGAGGGACACAGAATTGTTACTGAGGGACACAGAATTGTTACTGAGGGACACAGAATTGTTACTGAGGGACACAGAATTGTTACTGAGGGACACAGAATTGTTACTGAGGGACACAGAACCGTTACTTAGGGCCACAGAATTGTTACTCAGGGACAGACACAGAATTGTTACTCAGGGACACAGAATTGTTACTGAGGGCCACAGAACCTTTACTTAGGGCCACAGAAACGTTACTCAGGGACACAGAATTGTTACTGAGGGCCACAGAACCGTTACTGAGGGCCACAGAAACCGTTACTTAGGGCCAGGTCACAGAATTGTTACTGAGGGACACAGAATTGTTACTGAGGGCCACAGAACGTTACTCAGGGACAGACACAGAATTGTTACTCAGGACACAGAATTGTTACTCAGGGACACAGAATTGTTACTCAGGGGACACAGAATTGTTACTCAGGGACACAGAATTGTTACTCAGGGACAGACACAGAATTGTTACTGAGGGACAGACACAGAATTGTTACTGAGGGACAGACACAGAATTGTTACTGAGGGACAGACACAGAATTGTTACTGAGGGACAGACACAGAATTGTTACTCAGGGACACAGAATCGTTTTAATTAAAGAGTATGTCAGACAACATGCAGAGGAGTGGCAGAGGAGGCAATGTTTTAGGAGCGAGCAGACGTGGGCACGTGCAGCAGAGGGAAGGGGTCGAGGCAGCACTATTCGCAGCCAGAGGCTAGTGCTCCCGGTGTCATCCAGTACAGTGAGGAAGAGAGCTAACAGAGGGCGGTCAGGAACGGGGGGAGACATCCGCCTCTTCAGCAGCCAGGCGAAGAAGTAGTGGCGAGGAGAGTGGCTCGGTAGCCGGTGTAGAGACAGGTCTGTCTCCTGACCCACACGCAGCCGAGGGGGCTAGTTGTGAGGCGGGAGACCTAATTGATGATGATGAGGCTGATCGCACTTGGCAGCCTCGTCGTCATCAGGCTATTGCTTCCGCATCATCAGGAGAAGAGGGGTGGCAGCTTGGCAGCGAGCAAAAACAGTCGGTGGGTTGTCTCCATCGCCACACTCTGCCCATGTGCCACTTTCAGGTCTCCTCACACACTGCTGGTGTGTTGAATTTTTTGACATAGGGTGCTGGCAGATTACGGGCCTCCCATAGCTGCTGCCAGGCCCCCCACTTTCAGGTCTCCTCACACTGCTGGTGTGTTGAATTTTTTGGACATAGGGTGCTGGCATATTACGGGCCTCCCATAGCTGCTGCCAGGCCCCTAATCTGCCATGGGCCCCTATATACCGCCTCCTCATGCTGCTGCCAGGTCCAGAGTCTGTCATGGGTCCCTGTACGGCCTCCCATTGCTGCTGTCTCCATCGCCACACTCTGCCATGTGCCACTTTCAGGTCTCCTCACACACTGCTGGTGTGTTGAATTTTTTGACATAGGGTGCTGGCAGATTACGGGCCTCCCATAGCTGCTGCCAGGCCCCTAATCTGCCATGGGCCCCTATATACCGCCTCCTCATGCTGCTGCCAGGTCCAGAGTCTGTCATGGGTCCCTGTACGGCCTCCCATTGCTGCTGTCTCCATCGCCACACTCTGCCATGTGCCACTTTCAGGTCTCCTCACACACTGCTGGTGTGTTGAATTTTTTGACATAGGGTGCTGGCAGATTACGGGCCTCCCATAGCTGCTGCCAGGCCCCTAATCTGCCATGGGCCCCTATATACCGCCTCCTCATGCTGCTGCCAAGGTCCAGAGTCTGTCATGGGTCCCTGTACGGCCTCCCATTGCTGCTGTCTCCATCGCCACACTCTGCCATGTGCCACTTTCAGGTCTCCTCACACACTGCTGGTGTGTTCATTTTTTGACATAGGGTGCTGGCAGATTACGGGCCTCCCATAGCTGCTGCCAGGCCCCTAATCTGCCATGGGCCCCTATATACCGCCTCCTCATGCTGCTGCCAAGTCCAGAGTCTGTCATGGGTCCCTGTACGGCCTCCCATTGCTGCTGTCTCCATCGCCACACTCTGCCATGTGCCACTTTCAGGTCTCCTCACACACTGCTGGTGTGTTCAATTTTTTGACATAGGGTGCTGGCAGATTACGGGCCTCCCATAGCTGCTGCCAGGCCCCTAATCTGCCATGGGCCCCTATACCGCCTCCTCATGCTGCTGCCAGGTCCAGAGTCTCTCATGGGTCATGTACGGCCACTTGCTGCTGTCTCCATCGCCACACTCTGCCATGTGCCACTTTCAGGTCTCCTCACACTGCTGGTGTGTTCAATTTTTTGACATAGGGTGCTGGCAGATTACGGGCCTCCCATAGCTGCTGCCAGGCCCCTAATCTGCCATGGGCCCCTATATACCGCCTCCTCATGCTGCTGCCAGGTCCAGAGTCTGTCATGGGTCCCTGTACGGCCTCCCATTGCTGCTGTCTCCATCGCCACACTCTGCCATGTGCCACTTTCAGGTCTCCTCACACTGCTGGTGTGTTGAATTTTTTGACATAGGGTGCTGGCAGATTACGGGCCTCCTATAGCTGCTGCCAGGCCCCTAATCTGCCATGGGCCCCTATATACCGCCTCCTCATGCTGCTGCCAGGTCCAGAGTCTCTCATGGGTCCCTGTACGGCCTCCCATTGCTGCTGTCTCCATCGCCACACTCTGCCATGTGCACTTTCAGGTCTCCTCACACACTGCTGGTGTGTGTTTCAGAATTTTTTGACATAGGGTGCTGGCAGATTACGGGCCTCCCATAGCTGCTGCCAGGCCCCTAATCTGCCATGGGCCCCTATACCGCCTCCTCCTCATGCTGCTGCCAGGTCCAGGCGAACGTAGGGTCACACAGGGGAGGAACTTCTCAGTGTAATGAACAGAGAAATCGACAGATGGCTGTCTCCGCGCAAACTGAAAATCGGAACCATGTTGACCGACAACGGAAAGAACATGGTGTCTGCTCTGCGTCAAGTAAGGTTGTGCCATGCGCCATGCATGGCTCACGTGTTCAATCTGGTTGTCAAGCGGTTCCTAAAATCCACCATCCCACTGCAAGACATCCTTAAAATGTCACGTAAACTTTGCATGCATTTCAGCCATTCCTACACCGCAAAGCACACCCTCCTTGAGCTGCAGCGGCAGAACGGAATTGCACAGCATCGCCTGATCTGCGACGTTGCAACAAGGTGGAATTCAACCCTACACATGTTAGACCGCCTTTACGAAACAGCGAAAGGCCATCACCGATTTCCTGATGTTACAAGCGGATAAAGGTACTCCCCTGTGTAACTTCGATGTCAGCCATTGGCAGCTCATGCGTGACACCTGCCGCTTGCTCAGGCCCTTTGAGGAGGCCACGCTATTCGTGTGAGTCGGCAGGACTATGGGATGAACGACGTCATTCCTCTGTTGCACGTCCTGGAACAAATGCTGTTAACAATGGCTGGTCAGGGTGCGGTAGACGTGGCGCACAGATCTCAACGCCACATGACCCCTGTGGGGGCAGGACAGGAAGAAGAGGAGGAGGTAGAGGAGGACATTTGTGCTCAGGAATTATTGAGTGAAATGGGTGGTTTTTCCACTCAGCGGACAGGAGTGGAGGAGCAGGAGCATCTGGTAGAGGAGGAGGAGGAGGAGACAGAGGACCCAGACGCACCGTGGCAGTATGCTGTGGAGATGGAGGCAGGGAGTCCCTCGCATTCCTTGGCACAAATGGCCCATAGCATGCTCGGTTGCTTGCGTAGCGACAGCCGAATAATAACCATCAGACAGAGGGATGACTTTTGGCTGTCCACCTTGTTGGACCCTCGCTACCGTTCAAAAATGGTGGCCTTTTTCACACCTGCTGAGAGGGAGGCCAAAATAACGTACTATAAAAACCACCTATGTAGTCAGTTGGTCTCTGCCTTTGTGCGCCAACGTCCATCCTCAGACACTGTGGGCCCTGTGCGCTCGCGTTCCGCTGCCATGGCAGCAGGGGAGGGGTGGGGTGGTAGGAGCAGTGGCAGCTCCACCAGCAGCGGCTGCCTCAGTCTGCAGTCGATGATGAGTAGCTTTCTTCACCAGCGCAGTGAGGAAACTACTAACCAGCCGCAGCAGCAGCAGCAGCAGCATCAGGTGGACCTGGAGCAGGACCTCAAACAACAGGCTTGGGCCTACTTGGACAGCACACCTGCCAACCGAGGTAGACAATCCCCTTGACTACTGGGCAACGAAACTTGACCTTTGGCCCCAACTAGCTGAATTTGCCCTTGAAAGGCTGTCATGCCCGGCCAGTAGCGTGTGGCATCGGAGCGCGTGTTTAGTGCGGCAGGAGGTATTGTAACTCCGCGGAGGACACGACTGTCCACCCAAAGTGTGGAGAGACTCACGTTTGTGAAAATGAATCAGGCGTGGATTAGTCTGGATTTCAAACCACCAGTTCCTGACACAACTGACTAAATCCGCCATGAATCATGCCTCCAAACATGTGCCACTTTCAGGTCTCCTCACACACTGCTGGTGTGTTGAATTTTTTGACATAGGGTGCTGGCAGATTACGGGCCTCCCATAGCTGCTGCCAGGCCCCTAATCTGCCATGGGCCCCTATATACCGCCTCCTCATGCTGCTGCCAGTCCAGAGTCTCTCATGGGTCCCTGTACGGCCTCCCATTGCTGCTGTCTCCATCGCCACACTCTGCCATGTGCCACTTTCAGGTCTCCTCACACTGCTGGTGTGTTGAATTTTTTGACATAGGGTGCTGGCAGATTACGGGCCTCCTATAGCTGCTGCCAGGCCCCTAATCTGCCATGGGCCCCTATATACCGCCTCCTCATGCTGCTGCCAGTCCAGAGTCTGTCATGGGTCCCTGTACGGCCTCCCATTGCTGCTGTCTCCATCGCCACACTCTGCCATGTGCCACTTTCAGGTCTCCTCACACACTGCTGGTGTGTTGAATTTTTTGACATAGGGTGCTGGCAGATTACGGGCCTCCCATAGCTGCTGCCAGGCCCCTAATCTGCCATGGGCCCCTATATACCGCCTCCTCATGCTGCTGCCAGGTCCAGAGTCTCTCATGGGTCCCTGTACGGCCTCCCATTGCTGCTGTCTCCATCGCCCACTCTCTGCCATGTGCCACTTTCAGGTCTCCTCACACACTGCTGGTGTGTTCAATTTTTTGACATAGGGTGCTGGCAGATTACGGGCCTCCCATAGCTGCTGCCAGGCCCCTAATCTGCCATGGGCCCTATATATACCGCCTCCTCATGCTGCTGCCAGGTCCAGAGTCTGTCATGGGTCCCTGTACGGCCTCCCATTGCTGCTGTCTCCATCGCCACACTCTGCCATGTGCCACTTTCAGGTCTCCTCACACTGCTGGTGTGTTGAATTTTTTGACATAGGGTGCTGGCAGATTACGGGCCTCCCATAGCTGCTGCCAGGCCCCTAATCTGCCATGGGCCCCTATACCGCCTCCTCATGCTGCTGCCAAGTCCAGAGTCTGTCATGGGTCCCTGTACGGCCTCCCATTGCTGCTGTCTCCATCGCCACACTCTGCCATGTGCCACTTTCAGGTCTCCTCACACACTGCTGGTGTGTTGAATTTTTTGACATAGGGTGCTGGCAGATTACGGGCCTCCCATTGCTGCTGCCAGGCCCGTAATCTGCCATGGGCCCCCGTACCGACTCCTCATGCTGTGACGTTGCAACAAGGTGGAATTCAACCCTCATATGTTAGACCGCCTTTACGAACAGCAAAAGGCCATCACAGATTTCCTGATGTTAAAAGCGGATAAAGGTACTCCCTGTGTAACTTAGATGTCAGCCATTGGCAGCTCATGCGTGACACCTGCGCTTGCTCAGGCCTTTGAGGAGGCCACGCTATTCGTGAGTCGGCAGGACTATGGGATGAACGACGTCATTCCTCTGTTGCACGTCCTGGAACAAATGCTGTTAATAAATGGCTGGTCAGGGTGCGGTAGACGTGGCGCACAGATCTCAACGCCACATGACCCCTGTGGGGGCAGGACAGGAAGAAGAGGAGGAGGTAGAGGAGGACATTGGTGCTCAGGAATTATTGAGTGAAATGGGTGGTTTTTCCACTCAGCGGACAGGAGTGGAGGAGCAGGAGCATCTGGTAGAGGAGGAGGAAGAGGAGACAGAGGACCCAGACGCACCGTGGCAGTATGCTGTGGAGATGGAGGCAGGGAGTCCCTCGCATTCCTTGGCACAAATGGCCCATAGCATGCTCGCTTGCTTGCGTAGCGACAGCCGAATAATAACCATCAGACAGAGGGATGACTTTTGGCTGTCCACCTTGTTGGACCCTCGCTACCGTTCCAAAATGGTGGCCTTTTTCACACCTGCTGAGAGGGAGGCCAAAATAACGTACTATAAAAACCACCTATGTAGTCAGCTGGTCTCTCTGCCTGTCTGCGCCAACGTCCATCCTCAGACACTGTGGGCCCTGTGCGCTCGCGTTCGCTGCCATGGCAGCAGGGGAGGGGTGGGGTGGTAGGAGCAGTGGCAGCTCCACCAGCAGCAGCTGCCTCAGTCTGCAGTCGATGATGAGTAGCTTTCTTCACCAGCGCAGTGAGGAAACTAATAACCAGCCGCAGCAGCAGCAGCAGCAGCAGCATGGTGGACCTGGAGCAGGACCTCAAACAACAGGCTTAGGCCTACTTGGACAGCACCCTGCCAACCGAGGTAGACAATCCCCTTGACTACTGGGCAACGAAACTTGACCTTTGGCCCCAACTAGCTGAATTTGCCCTTGAAAGGCTGTCATGCCCGGCCAGTAGCGTGGCATCGGAGCGCGTGTTTAGTGCGGCAGGAGGTATTGCAACTCCGCGGAGGACAGACTGTCCACCCAAAGTGTGGAGAGACTCACGTTTGTGAAAATGAATCAGGCGTGGATTAGTCTGGATTTCAAACCACCAGTTCCTGACACAACTGACTAAATCCGCCATGAATCATGCCCCAAAACATGTGCCACTTTCAGGTCTCCTCACACTGCTGGTGTGTTCCATTTTTTGTCATAGGGTGCTGGCAGATTACGGGCCTCCCATAGCTGCTGCCAGGCCCCTAATCTGCCATGGGCCCTTATACCGCCTCCTCATGCTGCTGCCAAAGTCCAGAGTCTGTCATGGGTTCCCCTGTACGGCCTCCCATTGCTGCTGCTGTCTCCATCGCCACACTCTGCCATGTGCCACTTTCAGTCTCCTCACACACTGCTGGTGTGTTGTTCCATTTTTTGACATATAGGGTGCTGGCAGATTTACGGGCCTCCCATAGCTGCTGCCAGGCCCCTAATCTGCCATGGGCCCCTATACCGTCTCCTCATGCTGCTGCCAGGTCCAGAGTCTCTCTAATGGGTCCCTGTTGTCCCTTGGCCTCCCATTGCTGCTGTGTCTCCATCGCCACACTCTGCCATGTGCCACTTTCAGGTCTCCTCACACTGCTGGTGCCAGGTTCCATTTTGTTTGTGCATAGGGTGCTGGCAGATTACGGGCCTCCCGTATGGGCTGCTCCTTT